GAATCATTTTTAGAAAATGTCATTTTATTCGTGTTTTATCGATAATCAACTTAAACGTAAACATTCACAACAACAACACAATTCATCATTTTAGTAGTAATTCCTACTTAAATATAATTTCCAAAAAACACTGTTTAAAAAAAGAAAATACCGAGCAAAGCTCCCCAAAGGTCATCCAGGTACTATATAGATTATACTCGACTACTAGGTGGGGTAATACCGTTGAAATGGAAACACGAGTGTTAAAATAATTAACGTTAGTAAATAACTGTCAATTGTTATTAAATAAACATAGAATTAATTAATATTGTGTTTAAACAAAATTGTGCTTATTTTACACGCGTTATTTTGTAGCTATTGTTAACAAATTCATAATTAATAATTTGAATTTGTTTAAAAACATTTGATCCAATTATATAATAATTTGCAAAATTTTATTTACATAATTGTTTCCAAAGCTACCTACTTTTGTAATTTTAATAGCTAGCATATAAGCGTCCTGGATGCGGGTTGCACAAGACCGGTCATCGTGGCGATCTTTGGGGGAGGCCTATGCCCATCAGTGGGCGTCTCATGGCTGAGAAGATATAAACTTTGTTAATATGACTTACTAGCTGTCGCCCGCAACACTGTCCGCGTGGTATTAAAAAAAAACTTAATTAGTAGCATTTTTTTAATTAGTAGTTCTTTGGACTATGTTCCGTTCAGCCGTATTGGAGATACCTTAATGCTAACATGTATCCATCCATCTAAGCATTCACATTTATAATATTAATAAGTTATAAATTACAGGTGTATATACTTTTACTTATTTAACTTGAAGAAACGCTTCAGTAGTTAACAAATATTGATTACGCAAAATTGATATTCATTGGGTTATAGTACAGCGTAGTAAATAGTACAGAGTTCGTTCAACCCAATACGCATTCAACCCGGTGACCTTACGAGCCGTCTATTGAACAGTTGCATTGCCCTACTACACGCTTATCCTGTTCTCCTGATAACTTCTAACTTATAAATACTAATATTATAAATACGCATGTTTGGATGTATGGATGGATTAGATGCTTGTTAGAAGGTATCTTCAGAATGGCTGCATGGATCTCGCTGAAATTTGGCATACAGGAAGAACATAGCCTTAAAGAGCACATTAGCTACTAATTAAGTTTTTTTAATTAATAAGATTGCAATAACCAAATACTCTACTGTTTAGCTTTTGTATATTGTTAATTTCTAATAGAAATACGAACACTAGTGTGATTACTTCAAAACTTTTGGTTACTAAATATGGCAAAGTTATGCTTTTTTTCGTCTATTAAAATGCAGTTTGTTGAATTGGCAACGGTACTATATTGTTTTGAAATACGCTTGTAAATATTTAAAACACAACACGGTGAAGTTTTTAAAATATTCACGAATGTTGACAATTGATTCATCGTATGACATCCAATTTATAATGAAAACATTCTCACAAGATGCTTTATTGATATTTAAACAATTCGATAATAGTTTTAATAATAATAAAATATTATAAAAACAAACATTTTATTATATATTTATCAGCCTAATCTTTTTATTGTATGAATTTCATATTTTAAATAGTTTTTACGTTTTTATACATTACTTACTTTACATTGTAATTTCAAATACCAGGAATGTATAAAAATGAGGCGGTGTGTCCGCAGTGGGTGGGTCGCGTGGCAGACGGCGGAACCATCTCCATGTCCAACTACCGTCTGCACGTGCAGCCTCGTCGGCGTGCCGGACCCGGTGCTTCTGTGCCGTTGCGGCTAATCGACGGTCTCGAGATCCGGGACCTGCTCTGTCTGCTCATACTCTGCAAGCATGGACGTCAGATCAAGTAAGTCAACACTTTTATAAACTTCTTGTACCCTGGTACATTAGAACTAAGAACAAAAAGTCAATTTACATTTGAACGGCTAAAAGGAAAATCCAGAACAGTCTCCCAGTAAAGTAATTTCGTGAACGATTCAAAAATACCTTTAATGCGTTTTTTGAGATGGAGTATTTAAAAAAAACAAAAAGATGGAGTATTTTTAAACACTTCTTAGAAGCCATACTTCTTTTCGAGAAAATTTTTAATAGTATTAAGAAAAAAAAAACAAGAAATCAAAATACATATTTGCCAAAACATGGCGACAATCTCTGTAAACTTCTTTGGATGTTATGTACAAAATAAATATTGTTCACAATAATGTTTATCGCAACATGTCCGGTATATTTTTATAACATAATTGCATTATATGTTGTCTCGTGCATGTTACAATCTACAATTCAATTAATAAGTATCTATATTTAGTTTGTTAATTAAGTAGTCAACATAACAAGACGTCAATCAAATCTGTACTCATTTATGTTGTGTTATTTGAATGATTACATATACCGATACTTTTTTTTTAATATTAAAAGGTGGCAAACGAGCGAGCGGCCACCTGAAATCGCTGAAATAACGAAGTGATCGTTGCCCATAGACATACGCAATTGCATATGCGTTGCCTACCTTTAATCGACGGAGGAGAGGATGCACAGAAAGGAAACTCCACTTCCCATCCTTTCCTTATAAGAAAAAGGGTGGGAAGGGAAAGAGGACTAAATTAGGCCTCCGGGACGCACACTCATCAGACGAAACGCGGAATTACTTCCACTTGACGCCTGTCTTCTGTGTGGTCGTGGTATTTCACCGGGCGAGCCGGGACCATTCGTGCGGAGATGTTAAAGCGGGCTCTACCACTGTTGAATATCAATGTTTTCTATTTATTTTTTAATCGAGAAGTCTCGTTGCACTGAACAAATTTATTTCACATGTATTTCGTTTGATATTGATTTGATATATACACATTTCATAAATCTTTATCTACAAGATATTTAAACTGGGATCTTGAGATAAGTACCTTATCAATTGGTAGAACCGTGGGTGGCTTATCTAATTGGTGGTATAGTTTATTTCTTTAAATACAACTATGTTTGTTATTGGGCTATAGAAAGAATTTAGTGCCGTATGATTACATCTCAAATTAGAACATAAGTCAGGAAATTTCCATCATAATTTACTGCATAGCAACGGAGTGTTTCATGTTAAAATTTTGATAATTTAAATTTAGTATGTACGGTAACAAGCTTTTGTGCAGCGTGATTGGACGAGAATTGAGGCCGGAATCCGATAGCCGATAGAAAGTTGTGTTAAAAAAATTCCAATGCTAATACGATAACGATGTTGTAAATTAATACTTTAATTTCGGATTCAATACAAAAATACTGGCAAAAGATAATTGTGGACAATATTCAAATAGATAAAAAAAGTAAAAAATAATTAATCTTGATTTATATTACCAAAGTAATAAATGTGACGTATTTGGATTTTGGCGGGAAAGTTTCATAGTTGTATTTGGCCGAAAACAATATTCGAATCTAGAGATCGATCGGAAAATTATTTTAAATATCAGATAAATATGATGTTTACTAATATTTTTGGATCGGGAAAATTTTAGTTTTAAAGTTAAGATTGAATATTAATTTCAATGGCTCAACGCCTTACTAAAATGTCGACGTTTATGTCCCCTCACTATTCATTCTGACACTAGACTTTGTAACGAAAGCACGTCATTCGCTCCAAATTATCCTAACTTATAATGTATAAAAATAATTATTATAAATTAATAAGAACTTTAATAAACATTATTAATATAAAAAGTATACATCCGTGTACCGTTTATTGGTATTACAGACATGTCCATTGTGTAAATATTTGTACGTTCAATGTACAAAATGTAAAAACACTCATCGCATGCGACATGTGATGTTCAAACAACTTATAAGTGTTTGATACACTCCTTTGATTTATGTATACTTTATACATTTTAAAGACTTGGGTTTTATCCATGACAAAGACCTGAATTAATCAATACTACAAAGCACAGAGAGCGTCGGTGGCTCAGGGGTCAAGCACTTGACTTGCAATCTGCAGGTCCTGGGTTCGAATCCCGCCATGTACCAATGTGTTTTTCGATTTCCGATTTACATATGTACATTTATCCGACATTCTTACGGTGAAGGAAAACATCGTGATGCAACCTGCACATATCTGAGAAGAAATTCAAAGATATGTGTGAAGTCAATCATTGGGCCAGCGTGGTTGACTATGGCCTAATCACCCTCAACTTAGGGTAGGCTCCGAGCCCCTCGGTGGGGACGTATAGTGAGCTGATGATAATGATGATGACAAAGAACATACCTAACATCACAAACAACTCCACTTTAGTAAGACAGACATTTTATGAGTATTATGTGGTACAAGGCTGAAACATCCTGCAATATCTGCACGGAAAAAATTAAAACGACCGTTTGTTCAGTTGTCATCAGTCAATCTAAAAGTGTCGTATTCCTATATACAAAATGTCGTTCAAATTGTGTTTCCCTTTAACCATTAATAATTTAAAAAGTTAATAGCAAAAGTAAAAATAAACTTGTGAACTCAAAATGACACTAAATGCTTCATCATCTCGCTAAGCTTACTGCTACTCTACATATCTTTGCTTTTATGACGCCCTAATACTTTTAACAATATAATTATATTTCCAGATGTACGTTTACAACCGGCGAGCAGTGTTTGGAATGGTGGCGTCGACTGACCACAGCTTTAGCGCCGTTAACTTCATTGCAAGATACGTTTGCGGCAGCATACGCAGCATGGGCCAAGGAACAGCCGCCCGCCTCCGTACATCGGGCGCTTATGAGGGCTTCGCACGCGCCCCAAAGACATTGGTTTGGACCTGAGGTGAGTTGATAGCACTTTACCCATATAATAAACAAAGATCAGGTAATTATTGGTTTAAATGTATCATCATCATGTGTATGTAACCGCTACGACTTAGGGTCTTTCAAGAAGCGAGCGTATCACCATCTCAAAGGCCGGCAACGCATCTGCGGTTTCTCTGGTATTGCTGATGTCCATGGGCGTCGTTGAACACCTCGGTTTTTCCTGCTGCTCGTTTGCCCCCTTCTGTTATAAAAAAAAAACCATATAAACCCTTGACGATGCCTCCTTAAAAGTTTTGCTGCATAGTGATTTTAAATGAGAAAACGGTTACCAAATGATTAGTAATAGGCAAACATGATATGTAGATAGCTAGCTAACAAATTCTCTTTCGCACTATGTTGTTATAACTGTTATAAAATATTATATTTCCATAACGTAAGGTTTATGCATGTTATAAATGCAAGTTTTATTGAAATAGGAAATGGTATAATCGTTTCCTGCATTTCTTGACCTTACGTGTAAGCGTGACAGCGTTAGAACAACCTTCATAGACGATAGAAATGTTTATATGCATTTTAGCTACGGAATTAGAAATCAAAGATGTTTTGGTATTAAAGAAAATGGAGTTTTGAGTTTGTATATTTACGAGTTAACGTTTGTTATCAGGTGGAGAGACTCGGCTTTACGACGAAGGGCGCGTGGCGTGTGACTGCTGCCAATGCAGAGTACAAGTTGTGCCCGTCCTATCCGCCTCTGCTACTCGTGCCCGCTACCATTGGGGATGAGGACCTTGACTCTGTTGCAAGGTAACAATACTTCTTTATAGCTATGTCTTCCTGGTACTATGTTGCGATGAAATTGCATGAACCCAAATGGATTTAGGATTTCTTGAATAACTTGCAAGGTCATATAGATCATTTATATATATTTTTTCTAGGTTCAGAGCGATGCGTCGTATGCCCGCTGTGGTGTGGCGACACCGCGGCAACGGCGCAGTGATAGCGCGATCCTCGCAGCCCGAGGTGGGCTGGCTCGGCTGGCGCTCCAATGAGGACGAGCGTCTGCTGGCTGCTTACGTCACAGCTTGTAATGCCGACCGCGGCACTCAACCGCCTGCTACCAACAAGGTATGCCTGGTACTTTTACCTGAAAAAATACGTAACATAATATAGGAAACTTGTTATTGTCTCTATCATTCTCTTTGAGAAAACAGAGATAGCAACATTTTGAGATTTTGGGTGTTATAATAATAACTAATTTTGTATTATAACAGCAATTAAAGCTCCTGATAGTGGACGCGCGTTCGTACGCGTCTGCGGTGACGAACCGCGCGCGCGGCGGCGGGTGCGAGTGCCAGCAGTACTACCCGGCGGCGGACATCCAGTTCATGTGCCTGCCCAACATACATCACGTGCGCCGCAGTTTCCACCAGCTACGAGCGCTCGTCGCTGACTCCGACGATCAGGCTAAGTATGTGACCTACAGTAGCCAAAATGACTTAAGAAATTCTGTCTAGTTTTTTGTTTTTTTATTAACAAATACTTAAATTTGAAATGCCAATTATTGTGTTATGTATGTGCAGTTGGCATAGCAACCTGGAGCGCACGCTGTGGCCCCAGTACGTGTCGGGCGTGTGCCGCGCCGCGGGCGTGGTGGCACGCGCCGTGCTCGCCGCGAGGCCCGTACTCGTGCATTGCTCCGACGGCTGGGACCGCACGCCGCAGATAGTTGCAGCCGCACAGCTAGCTTTAGACCCCTACTACCGCACGGTCGAGGTATGATACACTAAGACTGGGTATATAATGTATCCCTCCCATCATCTTAATCTGAATTTTTTTTTGTATGACTCAATCATAATTGTAATCAAAGAATAAATTTAACGTATACAATCTTGTTCAGGGTTTCCGCGTGCTGATCGAACGCGAGTGGCTAGACTTCGGTCACAAGTTCGCTGATCGCTGCGGACACCAGTTCGGCGCGGAGGATCCAAACGAGCGGTCGCCCATCTTCCTGCAGTGGTTAGATGTTGTTCATCAAATGATGCTGCAGTATCCCTGCAGCTTTGAATTCAATGAGGCATATCTTGTAAGTTATAACCAATCTTTTATCTCTTTCGCGCACTTTGTTAGCGATGTTACAATACGTTTATGTGTTCCTGGTATGTAGCGGACTTACTGCCACATTTAATTATTAGTTAAATAGTCCCTTAGTGTAGATTTCTCCTTAAAACTAAAATAAGTGCCACCCGTAGTGACCATTTAACGACTATGAGATATAAACATAGAATAATCTGGAAGTTTTATGACAAAAATATTATTTTCAGATAAAGTTGGCGACGCACGTGCACTCGTGCATGTTCGGCACGTTCCTGTGCAACACGCGGCGCGAGCGCATCGAGTGCCGAGCTGATGGCGCTGCGCACGTGTGGCATCTGCTGCGCGCGCCCGCATACCGCAACCATCTGTATTCACCACATCAACACCAACAGGTCACTTGATGATGATGTCATAACATAACACCAGATTAGCAAACAACTCTTCTTGTATTATATAAAGTCTTTTCTGACAGTTTATAAACTGACGAAGTTCACAATCAAGCAATACATTATGATGTTAATAGGGATACATGAAATATATGTTTTATTGCAGGTTCTATGGGTGGATTGCAGCGTGCGCGCCATGCAGCCCTGGTGGGGCATGCTGTGTGGTGAGCGCGAGCGAGAAAGAGAACACGATCCTCCACACCTCGACCCTCCACCGCAGAATGGTACGATTGCTTTACCACGCTTATTTATAAAGATAGCGAATATTATGACGACATAGGACTTAAATATACAATTATACTATGTTTCTAGGATTAATGACGAAAACAAGATCTTGTGATAACTTATTGAGCGATGGAGAGAAGCATACCACCCAAAGGCGGCGCAGCGACCCGAGTATTGCACCAGACGTTATGTGAGTAGACATTTTTTATTAATAAAACGTTGAGTCAACTTGTCATAGTTTTTTTTTAAATTTAATTGAATGTCATTAAATAATATATATAAATTCGCAGGAAGCTATCGTCACTAGTTGGTCGCGACAGCCGCGCCCTCACCGACAGCTGTGTGGACGAGCTGGCGCCGGCGCACGCGCACCCCGGCCCCGCCCCCGCACATCTACCGCGCGCCACGCCCTCACCGCAGCCATCCACCAGTCAGGTGAGAACACACAAAGACATATCTACTATAATTATTCTTTGTTCATTCTTTCCTAACTCAGACTTCTGATATTAAAATCTCTGTTGCGATCGACTATTTTAACCGTAGTCTTTGTATTGCTTATTATGTAATTAAAAAGTTATCTTTTAGATCGAAGTGGAGGGTTTAAACCCGGAGCACTTCAGCCAGCCGTCTGGCAGTGCGTCATCATCACTGGAGCGGGAGCTGGTGCGTGCGGCCACTGGCACTGACTGCACAGACAGCACTGACAGCTCCCCGCCCCCGCCCTCGCGCCGCCCCGCACCCCACCCCCCACTGCAGGTACCCCTTACATCTCTTTACTAGTCTCTAATGTTGCAATGGATGGTTACTTATATGTTGTTTCTTGTAGTAATCCAAACTAATCCCTAGATGTGCCAGGATATATATGGTTTATGACATATTCAAATGATGGAATCAAAACCCTTGACCACGTGATTGGATATCCGTACACTTGACCATTAGGCTATTGGCGCATCAATATTTATTTGAATTAATAAAAAATCATTAGAAAAAGTACTTAATCCTAAAGACAATCTCTGAAATGGTAGAATTGTTTAATTAATTAAATTTTTCCTGTTGTAATTGTCAGAACGGTGTAGTGGGCGAGCTGTCGCAGAGCGTCCTGCGCACGCCGGACGACGATACCCCCGACGAGCCTGCCGTCTTCCTCGCAGACACCTATTCTGACCTCCTGCCCATGCCGGAAGTGAGTAGCGGGTAGAGAGAGAGACAAAGGGAGAAAGATAGTCAAAATAATTACACTTGTAACATTTAAAATTTCGTTATTTACAGGCTTCAAGGGAGAGTGGACGCACGCGAAATATAAGCATAACGTGGCGATCCATCTCAGAGTCGAGCAATCAGTCGTCTACCGGATTTGACATCGCGGGCACACCCCCCGCCGCACGCACAGACCGACCCCCCGACAGGCCCGAGCCCCCTGCCATAGACACACGTTGCACTGACGTCGACGTCGTCAACCACAACGTCACCACGGACGTCACCACTGACGTCATCGACAACGTTACCGCTGACGTCACGGACCACGGCCCTCTCACCAACGGCGTCGTCAACGGACTCAATGATATATCCGCCAAGTTCATGCAAGTTGATTTGAATGGTGAGTAGCTTTGTTCAAAAAAGAAACGGGCGAAAGATATTTTATGCTAGAAAGAATCATCAATCTTTAACATTTTGGTTTATTTGCTTTGCAAATATTTTTTTTATTATTTATCCTTCGTGATAAAAAGAAGCGTGATATGTAATTTAGGTGGTGCATCATCAAGCGGTGCGAGCTCAGAGAGCGAAGGTGAAGGCTCGGGGTCAGCGCGCGGTGCCGCCAGCCAGCTCACGCTCCGCCCTGCTTCCCCGCGCCGCAACTGCTGCCGCTGCACGCGCACCACACACGGTAACTTTCTACAATGTATTCATTTGACAAAGCATAATCTCTAGATTTAAATATTATATTTTCTATCATATAATATGTTTTATTGTGTGTAGGTGTAGACAATGAGTCGTGCTGGTGCGGAGCAGGCGAGGCGAGCGGGGCCGCAGCGCGAGTGCGGTGCGTGTGCGGTGCGGGCGCGCGTCCGGCGCACGACCCGCCCGATGGCTTGCCACCCGCCGCAGATCCATTGCAGCATCGTCTGCATCAGATCATATTATATCAAAAGGTAAACTGACATCGCAAATACAATCACCCACAACTTTTAGTTGTATCTGACTTAACGTACGAGTCTAATTTTAAATCCGATTTTAAAAGTCAAATTTTTACTCGATTTGTCGTATTCGATAGTTTTTGGAAATATATTTAACAATATTGTTGTATTACAGAAAGTTGTAGAAGAACTAAGCGGGCAGCTTCGAGAGGCACGCGAGGCGTTACGGCGAGCGTCGCCCCTGGGTGCCCCGCCGCCCGCACGTGCCTCGCCCTCCGCACCCTCGCCCACACAGATGGCTGTGAGCGGCAACGGCAGCGCGCCCAGTAGCGCCGGGGGGAGTGCGGGGAGCGGTGCGGGCAGCGCGGGCGGCAGCAGCAGCGGCAGCGCCTCCGAGGTGGAGGTGGGCGAGGAGGCGCGTGCAGCCTGGCTGCCGGACTCCGCCGCGCCGCGCTGCCAGCATTGCCGCAACCACTTCTGGCTCGCACGCCGCAGGCATCACTGCAGGTATAGATGCTTACATTACCCACAACTTATTAGTTACTTGTCTTAAAGAATATTACTTGAAGATTATGATTATCAGTATATTTTTTTTCTAGGATCAAACTGTTTTGTTCTAAAACTGTGTCAAATATTAATTGCATTTTATGTATATTACAGACGTTGCGGCGGAATATTCTGCGGCTCGTGCTCTGAGATGAGTCCGTGGGGAGAGTGCGGCGCCGTGCGCGTGTGCCGGCGGTGCCGCGCGCTGCGGTGACCCGCCCCGCCCCCCGCCACCGCCCCGCCCCCACAAGGACTCATTCGGTCATTCCTTCATTCATTCAATGAGATCGATATCATTCAAATGAATGAAGTGCTATAAGTCATGCACTCTGCTGCGGAAACTTTTGACGCCACCTAATTTGTCGTTCGTTATTCGAAATACATTTCTAGAGTTCCTTGACCGCTTTAACCGGATTTTGTAGAAATGTGCATGACGCAGATCCTCAGCTATTAACTAACATCTCTTATTTAAATCTATAAATTACATTTTTGTTTTTACAAACTACAACAATAATTAATTGTTGTAGTTTAAAAAAGAATCTTAATGAAATTATTATTTATACTGACTTATCTTGATACATGACATTCATAGTGATAGACTTCTCTGACAACCGATCCTTATCAAAGACTTGATAAAATAAATTATCACTGCTTCCTTGATAGTTCAAACATTTTTACGACTAATTTATATATGTAAATATAAACAAACATACAATATAGAGCTGCATCTTGTTGGAGAATTATTGACTAGTCAGACTACCAGGATGACATAAGATGTATGAAGTTCATTTTGACGAATGATACGACGATATCAAAATTAACTCCGATTTGACATTTGAGTGAGCATTTCAATATTGAATTTGTAACGAACGAAAACGTTTTTATAGTAAAAGTATTTTTTGAATTAGGCGGATATGAAAGGTTTTAGTTCAATGGACGAAAGGTTTAGGAAATGAATAGCGAATGAAAGGCTGATATCGAATTGTGAATATTTGAAAGTTTTAGTAAAAAGGAAAAGTAATCAAATTGTATACTTGAACATCGTCCCTTGCCAAACTATGCCGATATAGACTGAATATGATTTTATATGGCGCGTGCTGTTTGGTTTAAGGTTAACTGAAGACCCGGCGTGTGCTAAGTCCTGATTTTAGCATGAGATTTTGTGTACATTGAACTTAAAACGGGTGCTTTTTTATAATGAAATTTATTTGTTGAGAAAAAAAAACACTAATAACTATGAAAATTATAAAAATATTGTACATAACCCCAAGTTTGTATTTTGCTTAGTTTTTTTTTGTCCGAATTATTTTGTTTTTTTAATTCAGTAAGAAACTGATTTTTATGTCAAAAGCACACGTCGAAATTATAAAAAATGCCAATTTTTGTTACATAAATCTCATGGTAAACAGAATTGGACTTTTAGAAGATGACTTCTTTTTTTTTTGTATAAATTCTGTTTTTTTTTTCTTTTGTATCATAGTGTTACATTTGTTTTTATTTTTTATTATATTATTTTGTACAGTAACGTTTTTTTCACACGTGGTCAGTGTTGAAACATCTCTGAAGAAATTGGGATTCTGTATATACTTACCATGAGTTTGAGTTCTCACTGACGAAACATTGACATAGAAACATGATCGATAAATTGGTATCACAAAATATTTCATGTTAATATTTCGTTAAAATCACATTGTAAATGTTACTATTGGATTATTTAGTCTAACGCCAAGTTCTATATTTTATTATTTGTGATATTGATGATAATTTTGTATAAATAAGAGTTTAAGAACATGTTGTTAGACGTTAAATTTTACTGGTGATTTTGTAACCCCTCATCCCCTCTGCCCAGTAACATAGGAATATATTTGTACAATCTAATATGTAGTTATATATTTACATTATATACTGATATATAACTGATAAATCAGTCACCTATATATTATATAATATATTGACTTGTTTGTTATTACTAAGCAAATGAATTTTATATAAATCAGTTTTAAATATCCCGAACTCGCGAATACCAACGAAAGTACCATTATAAGCATGTTATAATATAATTTTATTATAACTTCAATAAATAGTTTTCTTCTTACATTTCTGTCTATAGAAATAAAATCATATGTTTAGTAATAAAACATATTAATTTATTTGCTTCAACTATATTCTAATTTAACACGAATCTTTTGTTCAAAATCAATACGTTGGAATTTGTCCATTTTTAAATGCACTTGCAAAAAAAAAAAAACAAATCTGGATGTATAATTACGATAATTATTTAATGAAAGAGATAAACTTTGTAAGAGAAATACATATACAATAGTCTTCCAGTTTGAATGGTTAAAAGTAACAGGTGATGCCTTAAATTATGTCAATCAGGGTAAACCCACTCAGGGTTTCCACTGAAACATTTATACAAAAACGTATCCCTTACTAACCTTTAGAAAAATGTTTTTGTACATGTGTTCCGTCAGTGGAAACTGACGGTTACTTTGAGCAATATTTACCTGATATATTTAACCAATAAATAAGTTGTGAGTTTAATGTATGGATGTTTAGTTAATGGTATGATTGTGCGTTAAGAAAGTATGACTTGACTTACGCTTGTATGTTGATGTATGAATGTGTATGGAGCGAAAGAATAAATGGATCGTGCAGACATCCTTGACCTACCTTTGATTACGCGCGTGAGTGCTTTTAATTTCCATGTTGACGCCTTAAGATAATATTCGAGCTTGTTTTCTTGATGATTGATTCAAAAAGAGATCGCAGATTAATGTCTTTAAAAAGCTATCCAATAATTCTTGTACGGTGTTTCATTCAATTTGGATCTTAAGGATCGGATATTGTCTTTGGCTATAAAAGATTCGTGTTAAATTAATTTCACTTTTTGTATTATTTAATGTAATTTGTATCGGCGAGGGGATTGTTGTTGACTTGATATATTTTATATCGCGGCGTTGTCACAAGCCGCGCTGTCGGAGCTGACTTCTTTGTGACCAATGACTATTGACACAATGTGAAATAAAGCATATTTAGTTTTATGATTAACCTTGTTTTATTTTCATACTCAAGGCAATATTTATCTTTATAGATATAATTCTTCTGTGCGTGTGTATGTCACTGAACTTCTCTGAAACGACTGGACCGATGTTGATGAAATTTTTTGTGTGTGTTCAAGGGGATCTGGGAATGGTTTAGATTCACAATTTTCATCAAATATTAACTTCATATTAATTTATTCAAATTAAAGACGTGTAGACAGGACAACGTTTGTCGGGTCCGCTAGTAATTTTGTATACGTATTTTATACAACATAAGGAATTATGTAAGAGGCAATTTATAAAAACGTGTTGTAATAAAAAATATATTTATTATGCAATAAATCTAGTATCTATTTCCACAGAGCGTCTAGTCAAGCGACAGTGTTGCAAGTGGAAAAAGTTACTAAAGATTTTTCAGTCATACAAAACATCATTGATTCATAACCAAATATTTTATACATAATATATACAACATGTAAAAAATAACATAATTCAATATAAAAACAAAATGTTCTTAATTTAATATTCAATGGTGATGCATTTCGTCTTTAGGTACTCGTTGAGAGCTTCTTGACCTGAAAATAAGAACATTTCATTAGAATTTTCTATAATATCGACTTAAAAGTATAGAACTATTAGTTATTGATAGCAAAATATAGATGGCGCTTAATTTAAAATTCCTGATTATTGACTTTGAAGACTAGAGAAGGGGACATAGGAGGGCAAATCTAGGTCATATTTCTTTACCTAGAAGCTAGATGTAAATTCTACACTTACCGAGATCCTTGCCGAAGCCGGATTGCTTGAAGCCACCGAAAGGCGCAGCGACGTCTGTCTTGTTGTATGTATTGATGAAGACAGTGCCGGCGTCGACGCGCTCTGCGGCCGCCAGCGCGCGCGACACGTCACGAGTGAACACGCCGCTCGCCAGACCGTACTCAGTGCCGTTAGCACGTCGGATCACGTCATCTATGTTCCTGGAATAGTATAGACAGATGTTGTCGTTTTAGCAAGGTCTAGACCTATTTATCTGGATATCTATACACGAAACAAAGTGATACTTTAAGGGTTCCGTTTTTTTATATGTACGGAACCCTAAAAATTGCTTTTTGTTATTTCGTGTACCAATTTTTTAAATTTTTGTTAAGTTTGTTACGGGTAATCTCCGAAACGGCTAGATAAATTTTGACGGGATTTTCACTAGACTGTAGCTGATGTGTGCTGGTACAAAAAGTATGGTACAATATACCATAATTTTTGTTTTTTTTAATCCTACGCTGACGAAGTCGCGGGCGACTGCTAGTAATAGTTAATTTTACTTGCCGCCTTTGAGGACGCAGAAATAATACTCTAAGCATACTAACTTGCTACTAAACTTGCTGATGATCATGATGGGGCCGAAGGATTCCTCTTTAGCGATGTACATATGATCCTGCACGTCTGTGAACACAGTGGGCGTGAAGTAGAAGCCCTTTCGGTCGACACGTCCTCCGCCGTACACCAGCGTCGCGCCCTCCTTCACTCCGCGCTCACAGAACTGGGTGAACAGACATGGTACTAGAGTTAGAAACATTTGGAGCGAATAGCGCGCTTTTGTTACCAAGTCAAGAATGATAAGTGAGGGGACATAAACGTTGATATTTTAATAAGGCTAGTTTTGCGCCGATACACCGGCACAGTGTCGGATTTTCTTCTTAACACTAGTTATGTGTGAAATCAATGAACCGGTGAACAAAGTTGAACTAAATTTTGACAGCGCACTAGCGCCCCCTAAACATGAGAAAATGTTATAAGATTTTTTGCAATGTAGCTGTCATTTTCTTTGTCTAATAAAGTTTTATATATATTATGAGACAAGCAACTGCGATATCTGCGTCCCTCGCCAATTCAAATTATACTAATATTATAAATGCGAATGTTTAGATGGATGGAATTTACTAAAATTTGGCATAGATGTGGAACAACTATTCCGCGCGGACGGAGTCACGGGATCAGCTAGTATGTTATAAATATAAATACGACATTAGGTTGTAAGTATCAATGGATATTAGATAAGGTAATAACTTCAATAAGTTTATCCATGTGCGCCTTGTGGTTCTGAGGTCCGTGTGAGGTGCCGCGATGCAGAGGGTCACCGATGGCCATCTTCTTTGTCTCAGCGACCACTCTGCGTACAAAGTCGTCGTGAATGCGCTCCTCTACGAACAGCCGGCCTGCTGCTATGCAGTTCTCACCCTTGTTGAAGAACACTGCCGCCATACCCTGAGAACATGGTTAAATCATATACTATAGTTTTTTTTTTTAATATTAGCAGAGTTTTGTATTAATATTTCTCTTACCATTCCAACTAAACTCTATGCTTGTGCATGGTTTACAATAGTTGAATGGCGAGATTTGAACCCCCGACTACGTGATCGGAAATCCGTACCCTTAACCATTAAGTGTGGATTCAAATGGGAGATCCGTAGTGAAGGTTTATACTAAAACTACACTAAGGAATTACTTTAATAACTTACTTAACATACGGTAATTTATAGTATGTAAGAATAACATTTAGATTGTTCGAACAGTTTAAGACTTGTTTATAGGTAAAGTTATACTTCAGATTTTAACCTTTGTTCCTTCTTCGCAGTTAAATACTTACATTTCTCACGGCTTTGTCTAGGTCGCAATCCTCAAATATAATAAGCGGCGACTTGCCGCCCAGCTCCAGCGACACTTTCTTCATGTTGGACACAGCGCACGACTTCATTATTGTCTGACCTGACAACACATTATTATATTCAATTTCAATCAAAAATAAGTCTAAGTCTTCCTAGCTATCATTATTTCTGGAATAAAAACAAAGATTTTTTCCTACCTGCCCCCCTTCCTAGATCTAGCCGAGATTATCGGCTGGCAAGGTCTTTGTATAAATTTAGATGAAATCTATTATAGTGTCCACTATGTTATGTATGCAGAAAAAACGGACAAATCCGTAATGTCTGTCTACCCCAGTGAGTGTGAGGCGTGAGTGTAGATACCTATCTCAGTGCTGCCGGTGAAGCCGAGCTTCCTGACCAGGGGATGGTCAGCGAGCGCCTGTCCGCAGAGCGCGCCGCTGCCCGGCAGGATGTTCACGACGCCGCGCGGGATGCCGGCGCGTGCACACAGCTCAGCGAACTTCAGCGCGGTCAGCGGACACACCTGGGACATGACAAACAATCATCATCAATATTAAAAATGCTCATTTCTTGGGGACGGCTCAACGGATCTCGCTGAAATTTGGCATGGATGTAGAACATAGTCTGGAAGAACACATAGGCTACTTATTAAGTTTTTTCAATTCCGTATAGAAGTAGTCGCGGGCAACAGCTAGTTTATTATAAGACGGCAAAGGAACAATGAATTCGTCAAAATAGCAAAGCGACCGCTGCCGCTTTAATCGACAGAGAAGGCGCACAGAAAGACTATGTTTCCCCTTCCTATGCGTCCACTCCTCGGTTTTCCCCTTCCCATCCTTTCCTTATAAGAAAAAGGTGGGTCTAAAGTGAGGCATAACATTAAACAAGGCTTAATTGAACTAACCGCAGCGGGTTTCATAACGACAGTATTGCCAGCTGCGAGACAGGCCGCCATCTTCCATGAGAGCATCATGAGGGGATAGTTCCAGGGTGTGATGAGCGCGCAGACGCCGATGGGTTCTCGTCTGGTGAGGGTGAGGTTCCTGTTGGGTCTCGCGTGGCTGACGGGGATTGTGGAGCCTTGGATCTTGTCGCACCAGCCCGCGAAGTACCGCCATGTGTCTATAGACATGCCGATGTGCGTCTTCAAAGCTAGAGTGTAAACTGCGCCGGAGTCGATTGATTCTATGGTGGCTAGTTCTTCTTTGTGCTGTTCCATCAAGTCAGCTAATCTGTGGAGGTTGAAATTAGTAGATTTTATTTAACGTCTCAGAAACCGTACATAAAGTTAAAATTGAAACTGAATTTTCCGCGTATACAGAAGAAATTACACTATTATATATAAATAAAATTGAAGTGTCTGTATGTAATATCGAAAAAAATAATGATATTTCGTATTTATATTTGAGTAGCTGATAATTAAAAACCAATTTTTAATATTTTTGTCTGCATGTCTATCTGCAGGTAATCTCAGGAACGGTTAGACCGATTTTCACAGGACTTTGACTAGAAGGTAACTAATGTACGTGGGCGTTATAGGCTACTTTTTTTTTGTAAAAAATGATTATTGGATACTTACTTGAAGAGCAGCTGTCCTCGTTCTCTGGCACTTATCTTAGACCATTCCCCTTCCTCGAAGGCGACTTTGGCAGCTTTAACTGCCTTATCAACATCACTAACTGAGGCGCTCTGAACCTTGCATATAACTGACTCATCTGACGGGTTCACAATAGTCAAAAACTTGCCACTATCAGAGTCAATAAACTCACCATTTATAAATAATTGTGTTGGGAATTTAATTTTCATTTTATTGACATCCATTTCAACACCATCGTAAACAATATCCGCTGCACCAGAACCACCTCTAGATTTCATAACTGCGATTTGAGAGAACTCTTCAAATGTCGTATTCATATAAATATCTTCATTTTGCAATTCAATTTGTGCTAAATCTTTGATTTCTTCAACAAGTCTGACAACATCCATAGATCCAGCTCCTGACGCGAAGAAATCCGTGTCATTTTCAATGTCAATTGTCAATATCGCCTTCCATATGTCACGAGCACCTTCTACGAATTGTTTCTCTTCCGCTGTTAATTCCAATGTTACTTTCGATTCGTTCGCTTTGAAGAAATTTTGCGCATTTATCATTTTGCCGTTCACTTTCAATCTTTGAACGTTTAACTGGAAAAGGAATATGTAAATTATTTCTTTGTTAAAAGATTTTATCTTATAATAAAACGACCATATAGGAATAACGGAAAATGGTCCTTCGAGTCGGATATCAAAGTTAAAGGAAACTTATATAGATACTGTATTTTATTACGAAATATCTATTAAATAAATTTTAACTGAACTGCTTTTAAAAACCTAACTAAAATTGTAAATGCAAATGTCTAGTTGTATGGATGGATGGATGTTTGTTAGAAAGTATCTCCATATTGCTTAACAGATCTTGATGAAATTTGGCATGGATGTTAAACATAGTCTGGACAAACACATAGGTCACTAATTTGTTTTTTAATTCTGTGCGAACGGAGTCGCCGGCGACAGCTAGTTCGTACAATATTATACATAAAAAATGTACCTTAACTCCATCATTAGCAGTGATAAGAAGTCCAGCCTCGTGTATGACAGCGGGTGTGTCAAGACCGGGTATGAGCAGCTGTTCACCCTCAGCCTCGTACTCCGCCTGCCAGAGAGTGGAGCCGAAGAACTTGACTTCCACATCAGCTTCACTGCCCTCAACAATGCCCTCTTTGGTCTGTGGTTTGATGAATGTGGTAGCTCCGGGAGACGAGTCCAGACCACGGATGAAGTTATGCAATGCTATACCACCTTTTGACCAATCAATCTGTAAGCAAATAGAAAGATTTTTTTTTATCATTCCTTAATCGTCTTTACGATATTTAGTATTTTTTTTTATCGAATTTACGGTAATATTTTTATTGCACAATTTCATATTTCGTCAGAATTAAATTTAAAAAATGTATGACTTGCGAAATGTTATCTTATTTACCGTGGGTTTCTGAGTTCAAAATCTCTGTATAAAACATATCATCCCTGTCATTATATTTAAAAACAGAGTTTAATAACTATATGTTTTAAACGAGGATTTTGGTCTCAGGAACCTACGATTAGTTATTTTAAAAGCTGCTTAGGTATTTTAAGACTCAATTCAATGTATTTAACTATTATAATGATGAGTAATACATACAAAGTACATAGAGAAGCTATAGACTGACCTTATGTGTGTCAGGTTTGAAGAGCGCGGGGTCGTAGGTGGCGCCGTCCTCAGTCTGCAGTATCCTGGGCGCGGTGCCATTCGCCACCATGTTCACTGACTCCGCCAGCGCCTTGATACCTGACACAATCTTACTCTCACTTTACACTGTATAAACATACATGGAGATTTTAACCTTTTTTTGATGAATGATGCAATTTTTTTTTTATCACACGATCAATTTATCTCGTAGTGGGTTTTATATACTTTTTTAGAAGTAGAGGCAATTTTTTTTAAATAACTATCGCTCGCAGGCCCTCTTGAGCTGTATTTTAAAAATTAACGAGTAGCCTATATGTTTTTCCAGACTATGTTCTACATCTATGGGAAATCTACCTTTTAACGAACATCCATCCATCCATCGCAACATTCGCATTTATGATATTAGTAAGAAGTAAAATAAATCAGTCAAATTTCAAAGTTAAATAGTTAAAGTACAAAATCTACCTTCAGGGTACAAATATTTATTATAGAGTGTGTCAACGGTGTCATCGATGGTGGCAGGGAATGACTTCTGCAGCAGTATTGGTCCTGTGTCAAGTCCATCATCAGCCCAGAAGATTGACAGACCGCAAGTCGTGTCGCCCTCTATTAATGTCCTATGGAAATAAAAGTGCAAAATGTAACTTTTTAGCGTCGGTTTTCACTGCTCTATCCAAAAACATGTTAACAAACAAGCGAGAGCTAAAGTCGTCGATTAGCAAAACGACCGCTGCCTGTAAACAACCGCAATTGCAGATGCGCAATCGACGGAGGAGGGGACACACAGAAAGAGGATTCTTCCCCCTTTGTTTATAAGAAAAGGGTGGGAAGTGAAAGGGGACCAAAATTAGGCCGGTACTACACTCATCACGACACACGGAGTTGCTTCCACTTGACTAGCTTCTGCGTTCGTACAACAGATTTTGTTGCTGGCGTGTACCACTTCAAAATACTTTTTATGAGAGAGAAAAGGAGATAGAGTTATATATATAGTTATATGTTTGAGGATGTTAAAGATTGTTGTCTCTGTCTCCTGAGTAACGTAGAACAACATCTGCAAGTATCAATATTGCCTTATATTTTGCATAATTTATTTACTTTCACTTGCTCCGGTTAACGTAATGCAATATGCAATCTTGTGTCAGAATAAAACTGATAGAACGAACATGTATAACATCTTGACTATCTCTTTCTTACACTACGATATCAAGTCAAACCAATCGTATGGACTCTAAGACATATACAGACAAAGAACTAAACCATCTTCCTGTTTATATCGAACTAGCTATCGCTCGCGACTCCGCGCGCGTAATTACAAAAAAGGTTTTTTCCTTCATCAAGATCTTGATTCTGCAGATTACTTCTAACATCCATCCAATTTTGGCATTGTAATAAGGAGTAAGATATTTTAGAGAAAAATGGCCTTAATTTAGTAAGTATGACAAATTTTAACTAATTGCAAAAAAACTTGTTCGATTAAACAAATATTTCATATATTCTAATGATTCATGGGTAGGAAATTAACGTCCTTGACTGTAAACAGAAAAACAATTAGTATTGCTATCATTATAATGAACTTACCAATTTATCGACGACGCTCCTCTATGTCTGGGCAGGATGCTGGGATGGTAGCAGATGCTTTGATACTTGGGGTGCATTATCACCTCCATGGGGATGAATTGTGAGCAGAAAGGTAACACATTGATATCGGCGTTAACCTTTAACAAAAGAAATTTTAATATTAGAATTTACGTCTGAAGATTTAAGCCTATAATAATCCCGCGTTCTACAGCTACTTTCCCATCCAAGTCTCGTCAAAATCGGTCCAGACGTTCCGGAGGCTACCCCGAACGAACGCCTTGCAGACAGACAGATAGACAAACAATTTTAAAATTGGTTTTTCGTTACCAACTAGACAAATCAATCATGTGTAGATATTTTGTTTGATATTTTATACGGACATTCTAATTTTTTTAATACGTATGCATACATAAGATATGTTTTTGCAGTTGTTTCAGCAGTGAAAACTCACAGATATTTTGATCACACATTTACGTGCTGTATCTTTTTTTATATAAACGTGTTGAAAACATATTACGTCGTCCAATACACGTGCGGTTATGTAATTATTATGTTTCGTTGTTTTTTTACTTATATTTGAAAATCAAGGTCATATGGACGGCTGTTGGATTTAAATTCTGCGTAGTCATTCTTACTATCATCTTTTTTTGCATTTGTTTACTTTTATGCTTAAGAATATTTAAAACTCTATAAAATAGATTCTTGTATATTGTTCGTTCGGACGAATTTTATAGATCTTTTTTTTATTTACTTACCATTGGTTTCTGAGATTAAAATCTTTGTATAAATCAGTGTTTTCCAAACTTATTTTGTATACTGCCCACTTTGAGAATAAATATTTTTTTAGCGCCCCCATATTTTCACATATTCAAAAACCACTATAACTTCAAATTAAATTAATTAATTATATGTATATTAACGGAAAATTCTAAATGAAACTTTAACTATAACCCGCAACTTGATACCTGCAGGGCCCACAAGGGGGCGTTATCGCCCACTTTGGGAAAGACTGGTATAAATCATATCCTTGTCTTCTTTGACAAAACAGAAAAAACAAGGTTTTTAACGGCGATTTTGATATCAGAAATTCACGATTAATCACTTTATAAGAATGAATAGCCAAAAAGTTGAAATATCGTTTGCACCAATTGATCCATTTCTGTATTTTCTCCCAAAATTTAAAAGAATCTTAGTTTAAATTCTACTATCTCGGATCGATTATTACTTTCGACTGTTACAGCAAAGATAAATAATTGGCTTTAATAATATTTGAAACGTTGATATTGTGTTAAGACACTGAAGATCACTATACGTCCCAAATCTCGGCGCTCGGAGCCTACCCTAAGTTAGGGATGATTAGGTCATAGTCAACCACACTGGCCAAGTGCGGGTTGACTTAACACATATCTCTGAATTTCTTCTCAGATGCAGGTTGCATCACGATGTTTCCCTTCACAAGATACATATATATTATGTTTTTTATATGGTTAAGAACAAGTTATAAACAATTAGCATATCATCATCATCATCAGCTCACTATACGTCCACCGAGGGGCTCGGAGCTTACCCTACTAAGTTAAGGGTGATTAGGCCATAGTCAACCACGCTGGACCAGTGCGGGTTGGTTGACTTCACACATATCTCTGAATTTCTTCTCAGATATTTGCAGGTTGCATCACGATGTTTTCCTTCACCGTAAGAACGTCGGATAAATGTACATATGGAAATCGAAAAACACATTAGTACATGGCGTGATTCTAACCCAGGACCTGTAGATTGCAAGTCAAGTGCTTGACCACTGAGCCACCGACATCTTATTTAGTAGAGTTTAATTAAAATTATCTCCAGTTTATTTCCCATCTATCGTAACACCATAACGATAGTCTTATCTGCGGGTTATTCGATGTCATCATAATCAAAGTTTACGTAATTTTATGATTCTATTATAAATATTGCAAAAAATATTTAACATAATAAAGTTTGATATAATTTGAAATATGTACTTCAAGTACATTTTCACAGTTACACGTACAGTTGTGTCGTTCTTGCGGTGAAGGAAAACATCATGATGCAACCAGCACATATCTGAGAAAAAATTCAATGATATGTGTGAAGTCAACCCGCACTTGGGCAGCGTGATTGACTATGGCCTAGTCAGCCTTAACTTAGGGTAGGCTCCGAGCCATGGACAACGAAATTTTTCTCGTTTATAGAGGTTTCTCTAACTTACTAATATTATAATTGTTGATTGTTTTTGGATGTATGGATGTTTGTTACAAGGTATCTCCAGAACAACTGCGTGGATCTCACTGAAATTTGGCATAGAATATAGTCTGGAAGATGACATAGGCTACCTATTTAGTTTTTTTTTAAAACCTGCGCTAGTTGTCATGTAATTTTACGTTAGTAAAATTGTCTTAATCGAAAACTAAATAATTTTAACCATACAAACATAAGTGAAGGTCGTAGTATCATTAATAATAATTTCTTAAATTGGCCATTTTTTGTTCCATGCAGTCCAATCATTTCTGCACGCGATTCTTCAAATGTTAATAAAAAATGTAATTGATAATAAAATGAGACAACTCCGTATTATGTTCTGCGTGTAATACGCTGTTTAAAATGCATATGCAATTGCGGATATCTATGGTCAGCGTTCGCTTCGCTATTTCCGCGAATTCCAATGACCACTCACTTGCCAACTTATAATAAAAAAGTAATACCACAAACCATAGATTTCATAATACGATGAAATATTACGAGTTACATTTATATAATCCAACTGGAGATACCTTCAAACTACTATAAAACAATACACTAGCTGTTGCGCGCGACTCCGTCCGCGAGGAATAAAGAAAAAACTTAATAACTAGCCTATGTTTTCTTCCAGACTATGTTCTATATTTATGCCAAATTTATACGATTTTAGTTTAGCCGCTTCGGAGATACCATCAAACATCCATCCATCCAAACATTCGCATTTATAATATTAGTAAGAAGTAAGATATAACCTGTAGGTTTATCTATATATAAACGCTAAATAGTCAGGAAGTGACATAAGACTTTACGTCTTTTGGTTCCACATAACGAAATTGGTGTCGAATATGATAGAAAGGTCGCGAGTGCAGTGGGTAAAATGTAGACGAACACGCAATACAGATGTGATTGTAATTACAGACATGCCAACTCCGAGAATTCTGACAGATAACTTGCCTTATTTATGTCTAGTGGAATAAACTCGTGAGATGGAAATTTACAAGTCTTTTTACAGTTGGTATTCTGAGAGCAAAAACAGTGTAACATATCGTCATCCCTTTTATTATCTCTGACAAAATAGAGATAAGACTGGTCTCAGAAACCCACGGTTAGTTAAGTGTTTATAGGTAAAATTAGAGTATTAGAATAGTAAGAGGATTGTAGGAGACAACATTTAACAGTGGTAGAGCCCGCTTTAACATCTTCGCACGTATTGGCCCGGCTCGCCCGGTGAAATACCACGACCACACAGAAGACAGGCGTCAAGTGGAAGCTATTCCGCGTACAGTCTGATGAGTGTATGTCCCGGAGGCCTTATTTAGTCCTCTTTCCCTCCCCACCCTTTTTCTTATAAGAAAAGGATGGGACGTTGAAGCGGACTTTTCGGATGAGAGGATGCATGGAAAGGGAAAATATTTTCTTTCTGTGCATCCTCTCCTCCGTCGATTAAAGGTAGGCAACGCATATGCAAAATGTTCTGTTAGCCTGGTAACAAGCGGAATAATTCTACGTGTTTGATTCAAACTTTTATAAAGATCGTGACGATGTATAATATGCGTTTCCACTGGCCAAATAATGTAATCACATGTGGAAAAATAGGCTAAGAGCTGTTAAATAAAGTGAATCTCTATTGTTTTCTATAAAACTTATATAATACGTTAATATTTGAACAACGTCACGAAATGAGTTATGAATATTGTTTTGAAGAATTAATGTTTTTTTTCGTGTTATAAAATCATTGAAGAATTAAAGAAACTGTTGGATATAAAGAAATCCTCTCTAAAAGAAGTTAATGCACTAAAATATATTAATGCTGTTATTATTCTTGCTTCTTATTTAGTTGTATGTTTACATTTATATTGAGTTTGCATTGTAACGAAACATTTTACAACTTTTACATGTCTAAAGTACTGAAACATCTTTGTTAAAAGTTATCCATTATTTCTAATACAACAAGAGGTATGACAACATGTTGCACAGATGTTTTGGCAGTGGAAACTCATAATAATACTTACAGATTTATATTCTTCCAATACTTCAGGTATGACCTTCCCTTTGATCCTCCATGTCTTGTATTTGAACACTGGCTTCCCGGATTGTGCCGCAATTGTTGCTACAAAATAAAACATATAATAAATAAATTTTAAAATTTATTATTTACTAGCCAGAGGCTGTTCGCACGGAATTAAAAAAAAAACTTTATAAATAGCCTATGTGTTTTTAAAGACTATGTTTTAAATATTTGCCGAATTTCATCCAAATCTATTGAGCCATTCCGAAGATACCTTCAAAGAAACATACATCCATCCAAACATTTGCATTTATAATATTAGTAAGATGTAAAGAGTAATATTGATTCTAACTAGAATTGAATAAGAGTTAATTTTAAACAATAGTTTTTTTTTTAATTTAAAAAGATATTTAATTTTGTTTGTTATAAGTTACTAGTAACAGTCATTGTTTAAAATAATTGTGTAAATATTTTTTAAAGAAACATATAATATACCAGCAAGAATTTGTAAATAAAAATACTACATTTGGATTTATTCCATTGTCTAAATGCATAATAAATTTATCTATAATTATTAACAAAATATTTTAATATAAGAATAAAAAGTATAAAATTAAAATTATATTTGGTACATAATTTAATAATATTTAGTTTCCACTATACACCACACATATTATCTTTTATTTTTTTTTATAAATGTGACATAATATGGGTTTCTATACATGTTTTAGCAATGGACACGAAGGGTTATCTTAATCTAGCTATGCCCTAACTAGCCCAACAAGTTCCCTTAAATAATGCTGTATATAAATAAATTTGAATAATCTAACTCACCAAGTGGATCCTCTCTATTGCCTTTGTCCAGTACTGTGAATACACCGACCACTTCATGTCCGTCTTTTTGTAGCAATTTAAATACTTCCGCAGCGAATGTGCTCTGACCGATGATTGCAACTCGAAGTTGCTTCTTTGGTGCCTGAGAAATGTCGATAAAATACATTCACTAAGTACATCGTTTAGATAAATATTATATTAAAATAACCACATTTGACATGCAATATAATATATGTTCATAAATATGTAGATAAATAATTTGGTTGAATTTTTACCTCATTGGGCACAGCAACAGGCGGCATTTTAAATTACTAATAACTCGAAGTGTGTGCGGCCGCGCCACTTGATGGATGGCGATCGAACTAACGTGAATCCATTGCTCCGTTCGTATTTAACGAACCGTCTCCAGCATCACCTCAACCTTGACATCGCTTATCATTTCACAACTACAAATAATTCGATTCATTGTTATTTTAACTAACCGCCAAAACATCGTATGAATCTGACGTTTCACAACATGACAGTTATCAATTATTGACAATTTTCTAAATTATTTCAGCCAATCGTTTTGTCACATTGTAAAGTATTTTAAACGTGATTGGTCTATTTAAAGACTTACAGTGATTCTCATCACAACTTGCAATTACGCGCCATTTTTGAATAAGAGAAAAAAACTCATAACACTCACATTGTTAATTATAGGTAGGTTAATTTTCCATATTTTTTCTAATATGTGTGTGGTTAAAAGTAGCGTCTATAAAGACTTGTCTATATCTCTTTTCTTTTTTTATAAAAAACAAATTAAACCACTTTATTACCACAAACAATAATAATTTATTCACAAAAGAGCTCCTAGCACCAAAAAGCCATGTTTCATATATTTATGTAGGCATTATAAGAGCATGACAATTATTTTAAGAGGACATATTTAAATGTTCAACTTTACTTAAACGAATATGTTTCTTTTTAATAATTGCTTCTTGATAGCATTATCATGAGGGGTTACCATAACCAAAACCATACAAGATACATTTATGTAAATATCGTTTACATAATATTTATATAAATTATCGTCTAGTGATATAAACAATTAAAAATTTACCACTTCTTAAGACTAAAATTATTTTAATTTTATCCTTCCTTTCATGTAACATGTTCTTTTATTTTCTATGATTTTTTATATTTTTTCTTTCAATATTTCCTTACTACCACAATAGCAACCTCCTTTATACATTTACAAGGATAATGGTGTTTATAAATCGATCAATTAGATACGATCGAATAAAACACAAATTTTACTGGCTGAAGGTAACTAATAAAAGAAACCCAAAACACAATCTCACAAACAGCAAAGGAGCGTCCGAGGTTCCGTCCGCGCGAAATTAAAAAAAAATTTGGTAGTCTATGTTCCTCATGTTCTTCCAGGCTATGTCCTACATCTATGACAAATTTCGTAAACATTCGTATTTATGATATTAGTAAATTATCTACGTTAAATTTCATCGAGTTCCGTTGAGTTTTTGTAGATTCTCATTTTTTACTGTGACTTAAAAGTCACAAATCTCACAAAAGTCACGGACGACTTAAAAGAATCATTCAAAGATAAGAATTGGAATATGTTTTTATGAATTTATTTATACACACAGATAATATTCCGAACTGTTGATCTATCCGGTACATACTGGATCCAGGCCGAGCATAAAACAATGACAATAATATTGGGAGCAGCGCAATAAATAGATAAGGCCTTTCTAATACATGATACAAATATCCTCTTTACAATGGTAAACAATATTATATTGAAGGAATAATACAATAATGAATAAAGGTCGGTATTACAACTTGAATGTAAAAGAAAAACTAAATAACACAATTTAAATTTTTAAATGAATAACTACGATGTCTTTAAGAAGGTTACTTTTAAATAATAAACTTTAAGCAATAAACTAATTAGAATTAAAAGAAATTAATTCCTCTAGTGTTGCAATGTCTATGGTTTTTATTGTGACTGAGTAGTCACTTTTTGCCTTGAAGAGGTATTTACAGCTTCACGGGGCTTGAGGAGGCCGAGCGCAGATGGCGCTTAGCCTAAACCTCGTTTAAGAGTAACAAGACTCGAGGGCTCCCTCAGGACCTTCGACTCGGGCTGTTACTTCGTTACTGTTACCTGATTGAGAGGTCACTGAGCTCTTAGATCGCTTAGGTGGACGCTCCATGGAGTGACTGGTCACAAGGGCCCCCGAGAGCGGAACTCGGCTTGGGCTGTCACATATTACGCGTTTAGCATTACGATTCATGGATGCCCGAGAGGGCCGAACCTCGGCTTGATCGGTTGCTATTAATATATCTTACAATGTCTATGGGCGTCGTTATACCCGCAGGTCATTTGCCCCTTCTCTTAAAAAAAGATTTCTGAAGAAAACATTTTTGTTTTCATTCGAAAAATGACAACGTACAAATGACGTATTTACCTATAAATGTTATATTGCGTACAGTTAGGTAACTGCATACGTTTGTAATGTTCACGAAATAAACTCATTTGCCAATACGTAATGGAGATATGATTGAAGCGAACCGGTTTGAAGCGGATCGCGGCGTGCCTTCGCTGCGTGTTGTGCCAGCCAATTGACCCGCGATAAACTTATAAAATATTACTCGTTTCTTTACACCGTATAATAATTATATCACTAATATTTTTACCAATACATTAACTTATTTTTAAATTATATTATTATAATAATAACTCCTTTCTTTAATAATAATTTAGTGACAAGTCCCTTGATTTTTCTTTCATGAACTTCTTTTTTCTGTCAGGGTAAAGCCCCTTTTACATATTTCCTGGCCGACTTTTTTCAATGATATCCATGATTTTTGATGAAGAAACTTTTTGGGTTTTATCATCACTTCTGGCCATCATGTTATTCCTGTTTAGTAAATCAGCGCTGTGAAAGAGTTTCAAAATTGACATTATTTATTTTCTCCAAAAAAAAGTAACTTATTACAAAAACTTTGCCAAATATCGCGTTCATCTCATTCATTTTAAATTGTTAAAACGTAATTATTGAAATGCATTTTATTCCCGGCCCGAAAGAGGTTGATTTCGAATCGAGTCAAACGAAGAACTGTTCGCTTGGGGGCTGGAGATCAATATTGTTCTGTTTCGTTTTGTTTGTGATATTTCGTGATGTTACGTTTCGGAGTTGGTTTGTTAAAACACCATTGTTTGTGGCCAAGACAATACTGGACACATTGTTTTTAAAGAGCCTCTCTGATTTCAACAACTCCATATAGTGTTTCGACCACGCTTCGTCAACTGCGTCAAAGTTTTTTATCTGTGATGGCTTCATTATTACTTGTATTCTTTTTAATTTTATTAATTGAGGTAGTTATATCATATAATGTAACGATTAAATTTCCAATGTGGTGTACGTTTGGTTTTAAAACGTGTACATTTAATTTGAATTTGTTTTTCGATTTGTTGCGTTAATTTTGGTATGTTTTTATTTTTAACAACACGTTTTTTTTTTTAATTCATTACACGAATTTCTAACCATGCTTTTATGTGATGGAATAATGCAATAGATTTAGTGCAAATTAATAATTAATATGTAATTCATACAAATAATTTTAAGGTATTTGTCACGTTTTTTAACTTTTATTTTGGACGCCTTGAGTCCATTACAGTTGTTTGTTGTGGTTTATGAATATATATATTGCTCGTTTCCTATCCTTGCAAAAGAACACCTATAAAAGAATTCGGAACTGTAATTAAAAGATATGCAAGTAGAGAAGATGTCTGGGTAACTTGAACTCTCTGGTTTAATTAAAGATTTTTAACAAGAAACTATATTTCGTTTTGTTTGTTTGTTACCCAAGTAATGTTTGTTATAACGCTCAGTATTTTACCTAAGTGTGTGTATTTGTTTCCCTCATTATGCTTTTTTTAATTGTTGATTAACTATAACATGATAATTCCAGAATCCCTTAAGAGCTACAAAGTTAAAAGACTTGAATGTGAATGATTATCCGTTGACCAAGTCCCTGGGCTTCTCCATGGACACAAAGCTGGGGAAGAAACTGGAGGACGCGATGTTCAGCCAAGGTTACATGGAGCAGTACCAGGACGTCATGCGCGCCAGCCGCGAATCCTTTGAAAGTTTCGAGCGTGACAAGGAGAGGAGGCGACGACGAGGTAAAAGTTCCACGGAAGTTGATAGGGAAGGTGAGTTACTATAATGAGTAATTGAATATCAACTTACTATCTACACCTATACGATAATACAGTACTTACAAATGTTTTTTGTCCTGTATAAAAGTAATAAAAAGATATAAAACGCCTGTCAAATTTAAATAGCAATAGCTCTAAAATGATTTTATTGAGCATCTTCAATTACTGATCTTGTTCGTATATACGACTTATCTGCGTTATACACAATACATGCATAATTTGATTATTAATTGATTAAATAATTAGGTATAGTGGAACGGCGACGCGGCGCTGGTCGCCTACGTTCTGAAGTGGGTCGGCGACGCGCGCGTTCGCAGGCGCTACGTAGAGACAAGCTGAACACGCAGAGTCTGCGAAGTCATCTAGAGCATTCCAAACAATCAACGCAGCGCGACTCACATGCCATATCCTCATAGATCACATATCAATAAATTGCCACATTTGTATGTCATTTTTAATTCATCCTAACCCTTAAACAAAATGAACTAACAAAAATCTAACCTTGACACCTTAATGTCATAAAACCTGCTTTATAATATTGCTATCTCTCTCACACTATTTGAAATTAACGTTTTACAAAACTAGATAATTATTTTTAAAATCGAGCTATTAATATTATTCTAATAATATACACTAGGTGACAATAAAATATACGTATTCATTCAATATTCAAAGTTCAATGAAAATATGAAAACATTTAAATTATCAGATAAAACATATAGATATGAAACATTAGCCATCGTATGAGGCCGAGAGTGAATTATACTGATGTGACGTCACAACGTAAACTAATCTTTGATAAACAAAGAGTAAACGAAATGATGAACATAAATCAAAAAATGTTATCTGTCAATCAACTAATATAGAAATATAAAGGATTCTCCAGTTATTTAAAAAAATAGGAAGGAACATAGGGATTAAAATAAGATTAAACAAACCAATATGATAAAATTATAATTGTATATTATCATTCTGTCAATATACGAGATAAAATACAAAACAGCTTTCTTATCAGCCAGTTTCTTCCGATGACGAAATTTTTTTTTTATTAAAAAAAAAAATTAAAAGTTTCTATATGTTTATTTATATAGATCTGTGGCAAAGTTTATCAAAACCTTATCCGTGAAGATGAAAGTTTTGTTGAATTGTTACTTTAGCTTATATTTAAGAAAAAGCGGAGGAACAAAATTGAGGATTATTTGATAAGGATTTATTGTTCGATAGGCGCATGTCTGTGAGTACACTTTATCTCACTAACTCGTAGTTCAATCGTATTAGGGCCTGTTTCACATTTTCCAAGTAAAGCGCTGGACACATGATACATGACACATGACTATTGCGACAAATCTTTTTTATGTTATTTTACTTTGAAACGAATATTATATTACATTTTAACCATCTTATATATATATATAAAAGAAAGTCGTGTTAGTTACACTATTTATAACTAAAGAACGGCTTTACCGATATGCCTCAAAATTCGTGAGGAGGTAGCTTAGAGCCAGGAGACGGACATAGGATACTATTTATTCATTTTTTTTTCGTATTTATGCCTTGAAGAGCTGCTTTTTATTTAACTTACTAATATTATAAATGCGAAGGTGTAGATGGATGTGATGTGGATGGATGGGTGGGCTACACTAATTAAGTTTTTGATATATCCACGTGGACGGAGTCGCAGGCGACAGCTAGTTTAGTTATAAGAAAGTCGCGCGAACAGATCGTTTTAATACTATGTGAAATTAATTATTTTGGTAAATTTAAAGCTAAAAATATTGCTTATATTAAGAACAAAAACTGTTTAATTTATAGAGATAGGTTAGAAAAGAAATGTTATATTTATATTTCCAATAATTTTCTTTGTACGTGCGTTTACATTTCTAAGAAAAATAATATCAAACCGTAACAAATTAATGCAACAGTGCATACGAGACAAGGTTCGCTGAATGAGACAGCGCTCCGGTGAAGTCCCGTGTCCCATACGATGAAATTGTCACTGTTTCCATTGTCCCGAAGTAAACATTGTAAAAATATTTAACTAGAGACAATATATAATTTCCTAAAATATCATTTTTTAAATAGTTTAATTCCCTCTCTATGTTTTCTAGTTTACTTGTAAAATCACAGTGACTTTTCTCAGAAAGATCTTGACAAACAAATAGTAAGCGACTTGTTTTGGCGACGAAAGAACAAAATATCGGTGACGCGTGCCTGTAAACGAACCTTTATGACATTGTATTATGTAGCTTAGCGACTAAAATCGCCAAGTTTCAAAGATTTACTTAGCCTTATGTACAAAGATCCAAGTCGCCAGTAAAATGTTTTGGCGACAATTTTACCTATAGATTATTTTCTTAACATTAACATCGATGCAATTATGCTTACTAATATAAATGCGAAAGTAACTCTGTCTGTCTGTCGTTCATGCAAAAAGTACTGAATCGATTTAATACTGACTGGAAATAATAGGTACCGAACTTTATCTATATGTTAGTTATTCGTAAGCGTGTAAATGAGAATATTGATAAGAAATAAATCTGCAGATATCTCGATTATGTGTGAGTTAATATATAAAGTACCGCATATAACCTCTGATGATTATTTATCATAGTGAATCTCGCAGCATGTTTTGTTCAAACGTGATAATGTCTCCGATATTTTTATTATTTATGTCGTGTCTATTTGGGATTTCTTTGCAGGTCTGTGTACTTTTTTAACAATAAATATTTTATATAATTGGATATTGGAAGAAATAAATAAAATACCGCTACATTTAAACTGACATTTCTCTAAACTGTCATAGGATACATTGAGTTACAATTTAGTAGTTGTAACACATGTATTGTTGTCTCTCTTCTTTTCATAGAGAATGAGCGAGACGACAATATGTTTTCATATCCCACAGTTCCGACAGAGGAACGTACGTAAAATAAGGAAATTCGTTTCGAATTTAAAATTACCGCGCATTGAGTTCAATGGATACTGCCAAGGTTGTTTTATATATGTTTTCGCGGCATCAGCCAACTTGGTCAGACACAGACAGTTCTAAACGGGAGTCCGTGCAGTAAATACTCGTATAAAACATGTTATGTAAATAACAACGATCGAATTTAAACTCTATGTGATTTTAACTTTAATATAAAATTCGTTCTTAAAAGTTTAGTCAATTGAGTATATTTTCCCTTGAACAATGCGATTGTTTATGTCAAGTTTGTTTCTTTGTCTCGTCTTTTATTCGGAACAGGTAAATAGACTACATTATTTATTATTTTCTTTTAATTTATTTCCTAGACTCAATTACTTACTACTATTTACACTACTAATATTTTATTCTTGATAGATTTATATTTCAAACAATATTTGAGGTTATTTTTTTAAATGACCTTTGAACTGTACTGATTTTAATTCAGTAAATTGTCTGGTTTAGCCTAGTGGCACGATGACTTACCGTGAGTTTCTAAAACCAAACTCATCGTTTAAAACATTTTGTTATCTTAAACATATTAAATATACAGGGATGACGTTTTAACCGAGGATTTCGGTCTCAGAAAATCACGTTAACTTCTAAAGCAAAGTCCAAGGGTTTGTCTTTTGTTGGCGCGGCATTGATTGGAAAATAATTATTGTTTTTGTTTCCAGAAATCGACGCCGCAAGATGACAGCTATGTAGCAGCCGTGGTGGAGTATCAGGTCAACACAAATGTCTCCATCAACACACAGAACTATGTTGATTTGATAAAAGAGGCCGCCGAAAAGGTGATAAGAATATAAAACTATGTATTGAAGAATTTATAAATTAAATTAAATTAACATTTTATAATTCATAAAGTCAAATATTGATTGAAAAGAGACGATGCAATACTGCTATAACCTTCTTACATGAATCAGCGTAAAGATGTCTTCATCCACAATCTTTTGAATGACCAGTCTATGTCTATAGAAGGTCTATGGTCATCGTGTACTTGGATTTTGACTTTTAATCGTATGCATCTCTCTCTTTCATTCTCTAAGTAAAAACTTGAGATGGCTACATTTTGAATCGATACATCTCTCTCTTTCATTTTCTAAGTAAAATTTTGAGATGGCTATATTTTGAATATGGAACGCTACATTCATACATATTAAAAGTCATGATCGTTTGTTGTTTTCAGAATGCAGATATAATAGTTTTTCCAGAGATGACCCTCACTAGAGGGCAGCGTCGTATTCCGATTCCTTTTCACGGTATCCTCAAGACCACTCCCATACCAGCTTTAAACCCCGAGTTATATGATGAAGTAAGTATGATGATTACGTGTGGTTTACAATGTCAGTTCATTTGGCACGGTATTAATTTACCGTAATGGTACTTGTAGTATCCTTCTGCAAATAATCACAACAATGTAGCACAGTCTTTGTAGAAATAGATAAACAAACTTGAGTATCATTGAAGTAGTTTATATGACAGTTATAAATAAATAACACATGATTTTTTGAGTCAAAGCGTCTGTGACTCAGGAACTTAAGCAATTGACTTGTAATCTGCAGGTCCCGGGTTCAAATCCAGCCTTTTATCAATGTGTTTTTCGATTGTCGATTTACATATGTACATATACCCGACGTTCTTACGGTATAGGCATCGTAATGCAACCTGCACATATTTGAGAAGAAAATCAAAAGATATGTGTGAAGTCAACCAACCAGCACTTGGTCAGCGTGGTTGACTGGCCTAGTCAACCCTTACTTAGGGTAGGCTCCGAGCCTCTCGATGGGGACATATAGTGAGCTGATGATGACGTTTCGAGTCAAATTATTATCAAAGCAAAATGCAATAGAATAACAATTTTTGGACCAGAAATCCAAGATTCCCAGAACACCCCATAAAAACTGTAGAATACAATTTGTTACACTTGTATTAATATCGCCATCCTTTTCATTCTCTTCCACAAAACTGAGACTACAATATGTACTAAATTACAATGAATGAACTACTTGACCACGAAACTAAAATTTAGTCGCGATGTGGCCGAAAGATCGTACCTAACTTCGTCCTAATAACAATAACTTCTTACAGATTCTAGTATCAATATCTGTAGCAGCTCGTGTACACCAAATCTACGTGGTGATCAACGTACAAGAAGTGATGGATTGTAACGACGCACCCGGGGAATACTGTCCCGAACAGAAAGAGTACCTGTTTAACACTAACGTTGTGTTTGATAGAAATGGTGCTGTTATTGATCGGTCAGTATGCTTTAAATTCTTTCTCTGACCTTCATTTATGATTTCCTTCTATTTTTGAAAGTACTTTCTTCTACTTTTAATGAATTGGATCATCTGACACTCTTTTACTTCATAGACTTTTCAACTTAGAACAAAATATTCAGATCCTTACCTGATTGTCTAATCTGATTAATGCTATCGATAGAATGTTATGACAACATCGATGGTCTTTTCTTTGTAAAAAGTTTATGAAAAGATGTTTGTTAGACGGTATCTCCAAAGCGTCTCAACAGATCTTGAAGTTTGGCACAGGCGTAGAACATAATCTGGAAGAATACATAGGCTACTTATTAAGTTTATTTTTAATTCCACACGCACGGATTCGCGGGCCGCAGCTAGTATCTATGTTATATAAAAGACGAACATAACATTTGTCTTATTTCATCTTACAGTTACCGTAAAATAAACTTATTCGGCGAGTTCACTCGTACACCAGCTTTGAAGCCGGAACTGGGCGTCTTCACTACCGACTTCGGGGTGACTTTCGGCCATTATATTTGCTTCGACCTTATGTTCCAAGTGCCAGCTGTTCAGGTCGTCCAGAAACATAATATTACTGACGTGATATTTACTACCATGTGGTTCTCTGAGATGCCTTATTTAACTGGTAAGTTTTGCAAGTTATTGTTTTTATTCATCTTATTTTTAATATGTTTTATGTGTTTAACAGTGGTAGAGCAAGCTTTCACTATCGCACGAATTGTCCCGGCTCGCCCGGTGAAATACCACGACCACACAGAAGACAGCTGTCAAGTGGAAGTAAATCCGCGTTTCGTCTGATGAGTATGCGTCCCGGAGGGCTAATTTAGTCCTCTTTCCTTTCCTACCCTTTTTCTCTAATAAGGAAAGGATGGGAAGTGGAAGTGGACTTTCCGGATGAGAGAATGCATAGAAAGGGAAAATGTTTTCTTTCTGTGCATCCTCTCCTCCGTCGATTAAAGGTAGGCAACGCGTATGCAATTGCGTACGTCTATGGGCAACGGTCACTTCGCTATTTCAGCGATTTCAGATGGCCGCTCGCTCGTTTGCCACCTTATGATATAAAAAAAATGTTAACACACATGTCAAAATTTTTCAATTATAAGTCTACTACTTTAACTATTTTTTCTTTATTGTTTTCAATAAAGTTGAAGAAAGAACTTTAGGTAAGATTTTGGCTTAAAATACAATAGATCTAAAGGATAGTATCCAGGTCACGAAAAATATGTTTCTTCTTGTGTTGCGTTTTGTCAACAATACGTAAATGTTTGAATTGCAGCTGTGGAAATCCAGGAGGCATACACGTACGCAATGAACGTTAACTTCTTAGCTGCGGGCGCAAACAACGTCAGAGTGGGAAGTGCTGGTGAGTTATACACACATTATTTTTCTTAAAAATGAAAACAAACACACTTGTTGCCAGTGTTTTAAGTTTTTTATTTTTTATTTAAGAAATGAGTTCTTATTAAAAAAATTGTAGTGGAATTGATTAGCGCTTTTGTTTACAGGCTCAGGTATTTACTCAGGCAAAGCTGGTTCTCTTATCAGTGTAATGCCCGGCGTGCCTACAACTAGACTTCTAGTAGCTAAAGTGCCTAAAGTGCCGGGAGAGGTAAACTACTAAGTGATATATATAACATACACACATAGTCATGTACAAATATCCTCTCTCTATGGTATGGTCAGCTGTAAGAGAAGTCTTTTAGATTTAAGCTCACCAGTACTTCACCACATTTCTATTCTCATATTAAAAACACCACTTTACAAAGCTTTAAATACATTAAAAAAACGAATAACTAAGTGCCGAAGTACTTGAAGACAATCAGAGGGATGTATAATTCACGCGGAAGGCCGAAATTAAACTGGATGAAGACGACTGAGATCACAAAAATGTCTGTGTATAGTAACAAAAAGCCCAAAATAGACCGATATGGAGAAATTTACTTTACCAGGTCCAGGTTTATCCGCGGCTGTAGTGCTTATGATGATGATAAGTACTTGAAAGAAATTATTATACTGTTTCAATCACTGAATTACTAATTTTCCATGGGTTTAGGTCAAAGAAGACTATCCAGGTCCTATAAGAGACGACCCTAAGGCCCTGGACAGCTTGGTGTTGATCAGTGACCCCTCGTTGCCGTCACACATGAGTCGCCCCCTAGTGAGCGGCAGCCAGGAGTTTACACTCACCACCAATGAGATCTCCTGCAAGTTCTCCGTCAAACTGCAACTTAAAGATGGTGAACAGGTAAGAATGCTATGCTTAATGCTGTAGTTAATAAGGGTTCATTTTAGCTTGTTAATTTATATTTATAATAACGTTATCCAACTATTGAGTTGTTCTAATTCAAGATCTTTGTATGCAACGTAATTAACTTTTGTTTAATTAGCTAATTTATTAGCGCGAGTTTCTGACACCAAAATCTTTATAGAATATATCGTTATCCCTGTCATTATCTTTGACAAAACAGAGAGAACAATCTTAAACGGGGATTTTGGTGTTGGAAACTCACAGTCATTCTAACAGAAAATAGCTTTTATTGGATTTTATGCAAAATATTAACTTATGTGCGTATTTTTGCTGATTTTCAAAACAAATAAATACATATATCAGTAGAAATTGGATTCATTTAGTGCACATGAAACTATCACTATTGCTTTTAAATAGTTTCATTGAATGATCGCATGTAATAACTGCACATCAAAGGTAAGTAACTACACAATTAACTTTATCGGAATTGCTTGACTTATACATCGCAAAATGGGTTCCCATATGCTTTTAATCGTAAATACTATATTTATTTATATGTTACGCCACAATCAATCCATCATGGGGTCAACAATTGCAACTGGAAAGCTGGAAAGGAAAATCGCGCCAGTTCCATTATACTTAATTAAACTGGGGATATACCAGGATTGCATAAAATACGACTGCATTCTTGTAGCTAGTTATTTAAATGCTTTTGTAGCAATGGTCACTTATGATTTTAAGCCATTTTCCTGTCTTTAAAAACGTAAATGCTAAATAAACATTTGGTGTATGTCTCGTTATTTCATCTCTACCATTGTCCCTGTTAACATAATTTTTCTTTTTTCATGAGGATTATTGAATTTATTCAAAGTTTAATTTCCAGGGTCCACATTATATGGCACTAGCAAAGGATGGTATTAACACGTATTCTAGGAAGGATCTCGGCGTAGCAACTTGCGCCGTGGTCGCCTGTAAGAACGACACAATAAAAAGTTGCCCTTATAGGTATTAAAATTTAACATAATTATGTCTTAATCCTTGTTTTTATTGCCGGAACACTTGCACAGAATTATATTGTCATGATTCTTGTATACATCTATATATATATATATATATATATATATATATATATATATATATATATATATATATATATATATATATATATATATATATATATATAGATGTAGATGTATATATGATGTATGTATATAAAGTCGTGTTAGTTACACTATTTATAACTCAAGAACGGCTTTACCGATATCCCTGAAAATTGGTGAGGAGGGAACTTAGAGCCAGGAGACGGACATAGGATACTATTTATTCTTTTTTTTTCGATTTTTTTTAACTTACTAATATTATAAATGCGAATGTTTAGATGGATTTGATGTGGATGGATGGATGGGTGGGTTACACTAATTAAGTTTTTTATAAATCCACGCGGACGAAGTTGCGGGTAACAGCTAGTATATTATAAAAAGGAAAGATTTGTATTGTTTGTATTATAGACTCCGAAAATATTGAATCTATTTGAAATCTTCCATTGTTAGGAAGCTGTACTATCCCTCGGTGTTATAGGCTCGATTTTCATTTAATTTTGTGCAGTCGAAGTCGCGTGCAATTGCTAGATTTTATACCTTTTTACGGTTATTTTAGCAATAGAATTTTATTATTATTTAGCACGAACAGTTGAAGATGTAGTTTATTTATCGTTGCGTCGATTCTATTTTTCTTCAATTAATGAAGCAATTTCGATATATCTAAAAATCTTTGATTCATATAAAAAATAGCTGTCGCCCGCGACTCCGCCCGTTCGGAATAATAAAAAAACTTTATAAGTAGTGTATGAGCTCTTCTAGATTATGTTCTATATCTATGCCAAATTTCAGCGAGATCCATGCATCTGTTCCGGTGATACTTTCAAATACACTTTTTCATTTTTAAGTAAGAAATATGAATTAGTAAGATTCATTGGATATTTCAGATTCGAGAAGACAGAAGACAATGTGGTGATAGAAGATTTAGTGATAGAGATGACGTCATACTCACATCATTACAATGCGTCCCTGCAATGTGACGACATCATATACTATCCAATATCTTTCACGAACGACAAATTCCCCGTCAGACCAAAGAATGTTACATTTCTAGAAACTTCTAAGATTAATTCGAACGAAGTTTTATCATCATGCGAGAATAATTTAAACATAGATTTTAATGGACATAAAGAACATATAGTTTACAAAATAAATGCACCACAAAACAATATAGTATCTTTTGGTGTTTGGGGTCGCGTTTACAACAGAGATTTTGATCATAACAAGAAACCAACGGCAGATGATTTGAAAAATTACTTGGAAATTGAAGATTGGATTTATAAAATGGAAAAGAAAAATAATAAAATCTAACCAGACTGGAAGATTAGACTAAAGTTTATAAAATAAGAATCTTTTTTTTTTATCCGAGATTTTTTTTTCTAAAAATTTATTGTAATTGATACAATTTAAAAGTTATTCGAAATATAAATATCGTTCAAATAACAATATGTTTGTTTTTTGTACAAGGAAGTTCTTAAAATATTTTTTTTAAATATTAGTAGATTTTTTTGTAAATTTACTAATATTTCTTTTACCATTCCAACTAAGCTCTAGGCTTGTGCTAGGACATAGTTTCCGACAATAGTTGAATGACGGGATTCGAACCCTCGAGCCTCGATCGTGATCGGAAATCGGTGATCTTAACCATTAGGCTATTGACGCTTAAAAACTAGTTGTTGCCAACGACTCCGTCCGCGCGGGATAAAAAAACTTAACTAGTAGCCTATGTGTTTTCCAGACAATGTTCTCATCTATCCCAATTTCAGTGATATACATGCAACCATTCTGAAGATACCTTCAAACAATCATCCATCCATCCAAACATTCGCATTTATGATATTAGTAAGAAGTAAAATTATTTTAGTAGGCTTTTCATTTCGATTCCTACTTATAACATTCCTAGTTTAAAATTTTCCTGTTTCAATACCGTGAAAGAATATAACATTAGAGAAACTATCTACTACTTACTATACTGCTTAAATACTTCTCAATAAATAAAGGAAAATTATGTTTAGTTCTACAGATATAGAGCAGCGGCTTTCACTGGAGTACGTAGCTTCTCCGGCATGGCAACAGGAGGGAACAGGATCTGTTCAGTGGTGGCATGTATCGGTGATACCATGGATACGTGTGGTAGGAGGTGAGCTACATCTCAAACATTTGGTCTCTAAGACATTATAAATTAGGTGACCATATGTCCCTTAGCACATATGTATAATGAAAAATAATGTTAAAAAGAACTGCTTATAAAAACATCAAATTGCTGTCTTGTATAAAATTGAACATTTCTATGTTTTCTTTTTTTAAGGTTTTTATTTGATTTTAAATTTACAGATTCCCAAGTTATCAAGAAAACACAACCGGCATATTTGAAGAGCTGAGTATAACAGCAATAATGCCAACTCCTCAAAGAGTTCAAGAACTAGACGCGGACGATTCAGTTTTCTACCCTGTATCACTAGATGTCGCTATTAATCCATTGAAACCGGAGCAATATACATACGAAAAGGCACTCTCCGCTGATGGACTTAAGACACATTTTAGTTTCAAATTGAATGGCTTGACAAGAAATTTGTATAGTTTCGCGGTTTGGGGTAGAGTTTTTGCTGATGACGGTAAAGAAGCAACTCCTCCGTTATCAAGTGGTGATAATTCTTTATTTATGAGAGTACCTGCTTTATGTTTATTAATACTGTCCATTTTCTTGACGTTATGATTAAATTAAATAGACAATTATTATTTGAATGTAATTGCGATCGCATTTTGTACTACATGTTGAATTAGAAACCAAGTTTAAAAGAAAAATTTAGTTTTTATTTATTTCTCTACCTTTAAATACAGTTTGTTAAATAATTTACAGCTTCAAAAGAATAACTTATTAAATTTTTACACGTTAAATGTTTGCGTACATACGTAATATTATTTATTTTAGTTTATCTTAAATAGTATTAATATAATAATTATAAACAGTTTAAGTAATTCTATTCAGAACAGTAGATATGACCAGGCTATCATATCGTAAAGGAAATAAACCGATGAGTTCTGTATAACCTTTTTTATCACAAGATAACCTATCTACTATGGTACAACAAGCGTTTATAAACGGTTTAAAATTTACTTTTGTATAGTGAACTACAGTTAGAAGAAAAGACAAGATGAACAGGAAAACACAAAAACAGACTTGCAAATGTGTAGCTAAACACTTATCGTTGGTTTCTGAACAATATATCAGTGTAAAACATTTTTATTTTGTAAAATAAACTAGCGTATGAACACAATCCCACTTGATGTTAAGTGATGGTCGAAAATTAATACGCGTATAAAATATCGTCATCCCTGTCATTACCTTTGAGAAAACAAAGATAACAATATATTTAAACAAGGAGTATGGTCTCAGAAAGCAATGTAATAATTCAAGGTCAGTTCATATGCATTCCGTGGGTTTTCCTTACTTTGCGCGCAATATCAAGATCAAGTCGCTAATGCGTAAAGTAAATAAATTTGTTGGAATGACATGTTTTTATACAAGTGTGGCGACAATGGAAATCCCGATTGACCCCCAACTGCGATAATAGATCGTTGTCAGTTTTACACATTATTTCGAACTAATCGCTTCTGTTAGTCGACTCGTTATCTTCGTGTGACGAGACGTGTTCGTGTAACTTGGCTGTATATAAAACTTTTGCCTTTTTAAATTAAAAAAAAAAAACAATATGGCCGCCCCTAGACGTGTGCTTGTCATTTACACTGGTGGGACTTTTGGAATGTTAAAAAATGAAAAAGGAGGTAAATACGAAAATTATTATTTTTAATTTTTTTCTTTTGTAAAATGCTTTTAACAGTTTAATATATTGTTATTATTTTTGGTAATTAATGCAGTAACAGCGGGTAATAAGTAATACCTAAGGTTGCAATAAAGAAATTTTAGAAAAATAAAATTTTAATTTTTTTTTAAATATAAACATTTTAGATGTCATTATTCATACTCTCTGTCTACCCATTTGTATCAAGATCTGTAAACAAATAAATTATACAACCGAACCGACGAGAAAAGTAACGATAACGATGACGATATGTAACAGGTTTTCCCAAACAAAAATAGAAACACTATCAGAGTAAATAACTCAATAGTTAAATAAATATATTCGTGAATAATTCTAGTGCTGGTGCCACAGAAGAATATAGAAAAAGTTATAAGAGGATTACCGCAGCTTCACGACAACGAATACTGGAAGAGATATTTAGCTAATACTGAAATGAAAGATTATTTAGCAATACCAGGTTAAGTATAATTATATTAAGTAACTAGCTGTCGCCCGCAACTCCGTCCGCGCGGTTTTAAAAATAGATGTTGGCCGAATCTCAGACCTACTCAATGAGCTTACAAAATTTCATGAGAATCGGTCAAGCCGTTTCACAGGAGTATGGGAACGAAAAAACACGAGAATTTTATATATAAGATTATATTGATAATACGATGAACCAACCTACATATTGACAGATTGATGGCCTTGTCACTTATACGGTTTCTATACTAGAGGTGATAAGGTCGTCAATGAAATCCTCTAATCCTTCTATACCTAGTTGGGAACGTATATTTCTTATGAGCTGATACATTCATATTAATATTAACAAATAATTTGTACTATTAAACTGATAATTAATAATATAAATTTAATAATAAATTAAAATTAAATATTGATTACAATACGTCAAGAAAATATTAAAATATTATCTTGCTATGATAATGACAATAATCTTTATTATAGAAGAATCATAAAAATAAGTTCTAATGCTATAACATGTATATTAATCCTCTGTATACATTATTCCAGTCCAGTGATCGGGTCTAGCGTTAGGCTGGAATTGTGTAAACTGGGCATTTTGATAGTTGAAACTCGCAGCCTCAATGTCTTGTCATTGTACGAGTTTGCATCAGTTTCTTTTAAACTAATAATAAACATTATGATTTTAATGTCATTTCATTTTTGTTATTTTGATACTATTTCATTTATATTTGCAGATGGTAAGGACACTGAACAGAAGATATTTTACAGAATTCATGAATACGACGAGTTGAAAGATTCATCAGATTTCACAATCGACGATTGGTTGAAAATGGTCAGAGATATAAAGGCGAGTTGTGTTGTAAATATAAACGTAAAGATTATTAATTTCTTCATTAATCTATGGATTTAAAAAAAAACTATTATTTTTAATTAAAAAACCGAAAAACCCAACTATGTGGACACTTACTGTTGGTTACAGAGACCAAAATCTTTGACTAATCCTAGATACTCAGTCTCAGAAACTCACACTAAAAGGCACTAAAAGGAAAAATACGAATCGAACAAACATTTCACTAGTCAAAAGCGATTCAGTCTTTTTGGCTACAGGATGTTACAATTGACAATCCAATCCGACAAACAAACAAGCAAAAGACATAATCCCGAGTAAGTCAAGGAACAAAGATATCTTTAAATTTCAGAGATTCTATCACGAGTACGATGGTTTCGTGGTACTTCACGGTACGGATACGACGGCGTATGGCGCGTCCGTTCTGTCCTTTATGTTGGAGGTCGTCGGAAAGACTGTCGTGCTTACCGGCGCTCAGGTAAATCATCTTTTCAGTCACTTGAAAACTGTTTATATAGGCAAATAGATTTAACTCACCAATGTAATGAATCCATAAGATAGAACTTATACAACTATTACGAAACAGCGGATACGTTGTTAAACTTTTATCGAAAAGATGGAAGTGGATACAAAAGGTCCTTTAGTGTTGGATGACCCACATGGACGTCGGATAAATTAGGCGATCTTCTACTTCTTTTGCTCAAATCTGCTATATTAAACATGAGAAAGACTCAACACCTCACCCATGATGAAAGAGTCTTTTTTCTTCCCTTCCTCGACAGTGCAATTTCTGTAGTTAAGTGTTGCTGTTGTGTCCAGGTACCGATATTCCAGCCCCGAAGTGACGGCAACAACAACTTCCTATGTGCAGTACTCATTGCAGCTACGCAATACATACCAGAAGTCACTGTGTTCTTTGGTGCTAAACTCTTCAGAGGATGCAGGTACGATTTATCTTCACCATATTCAGCACTAATTCGTTCACGGAAGAACGTAGGCTTCCACCATTGATTGTCACAATGGCCGGTCCTGTGCCGCCGCATCCAGTGAACTCCCGCAACCTTCACCAGATCATCCGTCAATCGTGCAGGGTGGCCTTCCTACGTTGCAGCCTATCTTACTAGTATTATAAATTGGTGTGATGGATTGATGTTTCTTAGAAGGTATCTCTAAAATTGCTGAACGGATCTCGATGAAATTTGGCTTAGTTCTAGAACATAGTCTGGAAGAACACATAGACTACTAATTCTGTTTTTTTTTAACTCCCAATGGACAGAGTCGCGGGTTTGATAGTAATAGTATTTGTG